TCAATCGCCGCCAGGGAAGTCTTCTGTTACTGTTGCCATTTTGGTATTTGAACCATCACACCTGTACTATACCAATTACGGTAATATTACATTGTGTGTGACAAAGACATATGCAATAATTGTATCTTTCATTGACAGTTTTTCGATAATAGCAGAGTAATTACAAAATTTATTTATTACAAAGTTTAATTGAGAAGGTCTTCTGCCCCGATATTGTTGTGTGATTGAAAATACAATGTACACTCATAAGTAAAATTGTAATCTAACGTGACAGATTCAGTTAAAGGTTACCAATTAATAATTAATTAATTAAGATACTGTGTTATGAGAAAATTGACGGAACAAATCAAAGGTCAACTTACACGATATTACATTTCCATTAGTTTCCAGATATACATAAATAAGACACAGACAAATTAAATTTACCAATGATTGGCAAATCATGTTCTGGAATATAAAAAGTCACCATAACGGCCCGTTAGTTCGTGTCATAACTTACATAATTTTTGTATGAGATCTTTAAAATACATTCTACGCGCCGATAGAATCAATTATAAAATTTAAGCATGATATATATATTTCTTTTATATTGTTGTTTAATTATGATTTTTGATGCTTTATTTATCTGTACCTGAAACTATTTCGTTTGCGGTTCTACAACAGTATTCGTTTGACGAAAACAATACGGATATACATACAGTGGTTGTTTGTTGTTTACGTACCAATGCAATCAGTGCACACACAAACAGTATGGTTTCATCGAACGACTACTCAGGTGTGTACTTTAATTTGAATGTGTTCAATGTATTTATGAACCACAATCCATTGTATTTCCACCCACCACACCATCAAACAATAATATTAAAAATGATGTATTTGCATTCACACCGCATTTTCTGAAATGATATATTATTTAAGAAATCTAACGGTAACTCTATGCAAACTTTAAATTACTCACCTATATGGTATAATAGTGATATGTCAACTAAGCAAAGTACGTGTTAACCGCGCGATAAATGAAATAACATATGGGTGTACAAAGATAAAACATAGTTTATGCCGTAGGGAAAATGTATTTGTTAAGAAACCCACATTAATTTCATTTCTGTTTCCAGTTAATTATTTTACATGAATGTCAAACATTTCCTTTTTTAAACAACCCGGTTTCACAGATAGGCTTTGGAATACATTCAATCATAACAGGTTAATATTGTTCACCCAATGAATATTATATTTAAATCTCAGGGTAATGTATGACGTCAGCATGTTGTAAAGCTGAACGTAGATGCTGTGGGCGAAATCAACAAATCTAAATAATGAACTGTTCAATTTCCTATTATTTACAACAGGTACCAGTCATGCATGGCATCTTTATATACCAGCTTTAGTAAATTCCTTATTTTTTTGAAAAATTTCCAAAAGATAAACACACCAGAAAATTGTTAAACGATTACTGTTTATTAACAAAATGAAAATATTGCAACGACTTTCACAGTGACATCAAATATCGCGCCATCTGTTATAGAATATTTGTATGCATCTACTGCTGTAACCAATCGTATTTCCAACAAAAACAAAACATCTGTCAGCTCAATGCTTACTAAGCAGAAGGGCGTGTAATATTCACTATTCGATCTAATCTTGTTCGACTTACCTTGGTCAGCCTTCATTCATATCGATGATCTAATCACAGCTTACTGAGCAGGGGCGTGTCATATTCACTATTCTATATAATCTTGACTGACACATCTTGGTCAAACCATATCCATGCATGTTCTAATCACAACCTACAATAATGATGTGTCACATAGTAATGATTCATACGTAGTTCATTATTTTTGAATATCATATATTTATTATCATCAGAATTCGATAGAATATTTAATATTACATCCGCAAAATATTACAATTTTTGTACAATAGAATAAGATTATTTATCACAAATGTTTGACTGAGGATAAAATAAACAATATCTCGACGTAACCATTAGAGTAATAGTTCCATTTCGAAAGATTCCAAATATTCTACTTTATTGTGCGTTGTGTCAGATGAGAAGCGTTTTTATTTTGGATGAGTTTACATATCATGCCCCCATTTGATGTGCGTCGTATTGACCGCCATTCTACATGTAAGCAATAATAAGTGTCCAAAAACGCTTTGCTTTTTTTTCAATTTGGTTATGAGCGTACTGAAAAGCTCAATAAGTGAAACATTTGCAGCGGCCCGGTGCATTTCTCCAGTGCTAAACAGAACCACTAACAAGATATAATACCATTTCAACTTCCATTCAATATAAATAAACATTCAATCTGCATTTTTTTACTGACTGACTTAATCCTTTAAATGGAAATTGCTCATTGAAACGTTCTACCAATCTAGTAGCGATCTAGTACAGTCAGATTCTATAACCAAGTCTACGGCCAAGCCGCTGCTACACCTAATATGACCTACCAAAATCAATCATTAAAATGAAAACAGTCAAAAATATGTCATTTTCGAATGTAATAGTACCACATAATATTTACGTCATCAATAACTGTACATCTCATAATTCGTAGGAAGTTTGATATAATCACAAAAGAATTCAGAATTTAATTCAACATTATTTCTCATTCGATATAAGTACAACGTATTCCACTTGTATCTACACCATGAATTCCGTAATCTCAGAACTAATACGATTGAATACTGACGGAACAATAGCTATTATATATGTGATTATTGTTACACTGAATCACACATAGATTCTACATTTAGCACGATTTTAGATTATAATGTTAAATAAGAGTTTATAAGATAAGGATATATTTATATATTTAAGTCGACAATTCCAGTAAGTTTTAATACTTTTATGAGACGTATATGAGAATAATTTTTGATTTAGCTATAGTGGCGTGATATGCAATGAAGATCTTCACACGGATTGCGAGATGATTACTTAATTGCAATAAAAACCTGTATTTCTGTACAATCTTATGCAAATTAGTGAGTCTGTCAAAAGTCTGATTAGTGTTCACCTCTGACAGTATAGTGGCTTGTTGGCAAACGGTGTGCAACGTCCATTTTTGCATCCGGTGAAATTTTTTTTCAACGTAATCGAACCTTTCTAATCGTTCCTTCCGTTGTGTGGCAATGTGTATTGGTCAGCAATAATTCAATTGATGCTCAAAGAAAGGGGTCGCTTTCAAACTCCTGCAAAACGCGATATATCGCTTCTCGTGAGATCTTCATCGCATATCACCTACATGGTTATGAAAGATGCATATGAACCATAGACTACACGCAATGTTCATATTGAAAAATTGTGTCCACTAATAAAAGAACACTGAACAGATTCGTATAACCATCCATAATGAAAGGATCGTCTTCCAACCATCATTTGCGACAATGCGTCTTACGATCAGCTGAATTGCTATGGCAACACGCTAGTTGGTATTCCGATATTACTGATGGTCCGATCTGTGAAATCGACTTGCAACCTGAATGTACAAGAATACGAATATTATAATAACTTTATTATTCCACTGAATCTTTCTTGGTTTAAAAAACAAATAAAATTACAAAGCATTCTCTAAAACACATTTGGCACATCCCGCATTTAAGGCAGTTCAAGCCATTTTCAAATTGTGTACTGCTGGACATGTTACTGCAAATATACGTAATGCATTCTGGGAGATAACATCCATTTTGGATAACTGATACCACCCTGGTAAATCACTAAATTATATGTCAATTTTTTGAAAATCTTTAACAATGTAGCATTCATAATATTAAATTGCGACTTTTTCATTCCATATCACCAGACAAAAATATGAGATGTGATGAAATAATCTCACTCTAGAAATAATAATGCCAGTTTTGACATTGTTTAGGACATTTCCGACTCTTATATCTCGAGAAATTGTCCAAACGAATGACACTTATACATTCTGAGAGATCTTCACCTCAAACTTTTCTACTCAAGATCAAAATTGTACCAAGGACATTTCACCTTACCTGTACACAACATAGCTCGCTCCAAATCCTCTTTCAAGAGATTTAGCACTTGTTTTACACCTTCCTCTCCCTGCAATGATTTGTAAAACAGGATTTGTTTAACTGATTGAGGCTTATGGGTAAGGTTTATGTAGTTGAGTACAATGTAGTGTAAACAACAGAATAGCTATTATCATAAAAGGGGTTGACCATAACAAAATCAAGTTGAGAATGGAACTACTGTGCGAATCATTGTTTTCCTTACTTCATTGGTTTTGAACTACATTCTTTTTACTATGATATTGCTGTAAATTTGTTTGCTATTCACATTCAATTACGTGCGGCATTTTTTTCATAATTTTCTTATACGATGTCGAATAATTTCAAAATCAACTACCATTCCAAGACTTTCGAATGATCAGCTCTTAACTTCACATTTTGCTAACAAAAATAGTGGTATGTGCTCTATTGTTATAACCATGGACAATAAATCCTGAATATGTATTCCTATAGCGGGAATTATATTCTAACGTCATAGTTATATTTCAATAATGTCATATTTTCTGATATCATGTTAGAAACATTGTAATTTAATATATAATACATATATACAGTGTACCTGGTAACTTAGTCCATATAGCAATGGTCTACCTATGAAACAGGCTTTAGCACCCAACGCCAAGGCTTTGAGGATATCACCACCATATCGTACACCTCCATCTAGATACACTTCTATTTCACCATTGACAGCTTTCACTATATTTGGTAATACGTCCAACTGTAAGAACGTAACACATTGTCATGAGTACATACTATGTACAAACATTCAATTTGAAAACAAGGATAGAGTACGCTAGAGAGCAATCTATAACTAACATCTTAAGTAAATCTCTGGAGATGTTTTATTATTAACGTTTATTGGCAGTATAATTGAAATAATGCAAAATCTGTGCACAATTGTATATCAATTATTATTAAGCAGTTTCGCTCCAGGGTTTCTATTCACATATCGAAATCTTAATCTAAGTGTAAAAATAACAGGTGTAGCATTTGCAGTTATGTAACGATACTCACTGCCCCTGGTAACGAATCCATCATACGTCCGCCATGGTTAGATACGATAATGGCCTTTGCGCCATATTTGATTGCCAATAACGCATCTTCTGGTTCCATTATGCCCTTTAGAATTATGGGTAAATTTGTAATCTTGGTCACTTCTTGTATGTCGTCCCAACTCGCATGCTCTACCACGTGCTAAGTCATAACAGTGATGTAAATAATAAAAAAAAATATTCAATTTTAAGAAAGGGTAAATCAGGGGTGCGTAATTACCCCAATTCTGTTTAACTTGTTTATTAATAATATAAGCAATTCATCAGAACCGTTGGAACCAGCCACGTTGAATAATCACAATATCACAGCGCTGATGTGTGTAGAAAATCAACTGGCTTGCAGAAAAAAATCAACATCTTCAATAATTATCGTGAAAAGTGGAATTTTAATTTAAAAAATCACTAAAAGATCACTAAAATCGTCAGTTGTGTATCTAGCTACAACTATCATCAGAGAATTTCTCAGGACCTATATCACTAAACGACTATTGTCATTGAAAGATATCATAAAAAAATATTAATCTAAATTTGTCATTTGAACCAGAAACCAAATTACCAGGAATTTGTAAATACAGTACCCCTGGAATTACAAAAAATAGAAAACGATTTGTCAAATGTATTGCTATGAGCCATACTTATCAATAACAGCATATGCACCATAAGCCAACTACTATAAGACGGGACAACATCCCCACATGACCAATCAGTACTAAGCTAATAACTAGAGGCATTTCCACGTGGTAAGAAATTAACAATATACCGCGACTGTAGTTTTTTTCCTTAGTACCTCTCTTCGACTGATCCCATGGCCTTCGGGTACTACCCAAATTATAGCCATAGGTTCTTTTAAACTGAAAGTGAGAGCAAAACAAAAAAGGCTTACCTGACTGTAAGCTTTAATGAAATTATCTCCGTTAAAATTGCCATGGGTTGTTTTCAACATGTGTTTGAATATCATATTCCGCCAATCAGAATACACGATGCGTTTCCAGTGACCGTCAACCGTCACTACAATTGCCTTGTACCCAGCAGCCTCTGCGCGTCGTATCAGCTCTTTATGATAGGCTTGTTTGGACAAGTAGATCTGTAACCATTTAATACTTTCGGTGTTAACTCTGGCAATTTCCTCCAAGCTTTGCTCAGAGTAGCATGGAACGATCTCGCAAATACCATATTCACCGGCAGCTGTAGGAGCATAAGCAGATAGGGTGTTAGTTTTACGTAGTCACACGAGCCTGATGTGCTGCGCCCTCTATCGACGGTTTGTAACCACACAGACCGCAACATGCTCTACACTTCATAAAGGCAGGTGTACGAACACGGCTAAATATTTTGTTTTTGTTTTGGAAGAAATATGAATAATGATTATGAAATGTTTACTCTGTTGCGTTTCTCATTTACAAAATGTATATGATAAAATATTACATCATACGCATGCGCTTTTGATTATTACGACGTACCAGAAAGTCAAAGCGAACGTAAGTTTGCATAATTAAACATATTAATAGACACACACACAACGTTATAGTTGATGATAACTCATTAACCTGTATTGAACTTTTTCTCTTTGTTTCCGTCGTGGTAGAATGATTAGCTTACAGTGACTATTTTATTGACATATATATATATCTATACAGGACATAACAGTGATATCGTCGATCATACCATACATTACAATGGCATCACCATCTGTAAGCCAGGTCAAATCTTACCCACTAAGTAATAGTTGTTCATTTCATTCAGAGAGGTGGTCGCACACTACGAATGCTCGAGTTTTGTGCTGATAAACACGATGCCTTTTCCACAACTCCCCGTGCTCTACTAACAAACATTATGGTGGCAAGTATGCGTTTTAAGATTTGATCTGGGTGAGAAGAACGCACTTATTTCTGACTCAATCAGAATTTTTTAACAATTAAACAACTCAGTATTTGATTGAAAATGACCACCACGTATTATAATATTCCTGTTGTAATTACTGACCCCTGGCAGAGCACAAGTCACCCTTCGGCCACGCCCAACTTTTTCTGAGAACGGGTCCGAGTCCTATCGGAAGCGTCACGTGACTGTCAAGGAGCGTTGTTGACATGTCTGGAGCGGCGATGTTCTTTAATACTCTCTGACGCAGACGATATCTGTAAAGACAAGCAGTAGCTGTGATTAGTGTATGTTTAAAGGGCCGTGGTCGTCGCGCAGCGCGTGTCCGAATTCCATGTAAATAAACAACGTATTTTACACGCGTTGTATATGTCGATATGAGTCCCATACCCGGGGCCCCATATCGATTAGGACGAGGCGCGACGACCACCGCCCTTTAAGGAGCGGTCGTTTCGACATGTATGCGCGAGATATGGGTCTCATATAAACAAAGATGACGACTTTGACTTGCACAGATCAAGGAGTACAAACTGAGACATTACCGAATTTTAATTAGGTAATTGTTTAGGTGATGCGCAGGCGACGACTACCGCCCTTTGAATCTGACCGTAAAATAACCATATCATACCTCTTGAAAGCGGTCTCATTATCTTGTTGAGTACTTTGATTACCAGCCCCATCAGTGAAATAATCAAAGGTTGACCGTGGGAGGCGCTTTCTAGCATATTCCTGGTATTCCTCGATACTGAATAGACCTTTCTTCAGATGGCGATGCCTTTAGACCAATATATAAAAAAACCAAAACAGCGTCGTTAGAATGTTATTGCTAGGGAGTAGTTAACAAAATACAAATTATACCAAATATATATTATTTTGTGTTTAAACATTTTAAAGTTTTTTTTCTTGCTTTCTGTAACCAATACTATACTACCTATACTGCCGAAATAATTTGGGACGCCGATAGATGGCGTTGTTTTAACCCCGAGTTCTTGTTCACGCGTGTCTCAACTTGGGATTGAACGTGAAATTCGAAGTCAGACCAGTCCTTTCATTCTGAGCTAAACTAAACCAGGTCGAGATCGGGTTAATCTGCTCACAAATGATTTTCAAAAGTGGGTTGAAATAAACTCGGTCTCGAGCGCCACTACATGTGTGGGTACTGTAAAATACGTCGAGGCAAAATCTTTGTATAATTGTATATCAATTATTGTTAAGAAGGTTCGCTCCAGGGTTTCTATTCACATTTCGGAATCCTAATCTAAGTGTTAAAATAATAGGAGTAGCATTTGCAGTCATGTAGCGATACTCACTGCCTCTGGTAACGAATCCATCATGCGTCCGCCATGGTTAGATCAATAATGGCCTTTGCGCCACATTTGATTGCATATTCTAGTTTCAATATGCTCTACGTTGCCTTTTCAGACTGGTGTGCTACTATTTACATCACGACTCTTTTCAGACTGGTGTGCTACCATTACACTACAAGACTAGCGTGCTAATATTTATACTACGATTCCTTTCACACTAGAGTTTACCATTTACACTACGATTCCTTTCACACTAGAGTTTTACCATTTACACGAGTATTTTCAGACTAATATGTTACCATTTACACTACGAGTTTTTTCAGACTAGTGTGTTACTATTTACACTACAAGACTAGCGTGCTAATATTTATACTACGATTCCTTTCACACTAGAGTTTACCATTTACACTACGATTCCTTTCACACTAGAGTTTTACCATTTACACGAGTATTTTCAGACTAGTGTGTTACCATTTACACTGCGAGACTGGTCCGACTAGTATGTTACCATTTACATTACGAGTCTGGTCCGACTAGTATGTTACCATTTACATTACGAGTCTGGTCCGATTAGTATGTTACCATTTACATTAAGAGTCTGGTCCGACTAGTGTGTTACTATTTACACTACGAGTCTGTTCAGACTAGTATGTTACTATTTACACGAGTCTTTTCAGACTAGTATGTTACTATTTACACCAGTCTTTTCAGACTAGTATGTTACTATTTACATGAGTCTGTCCCGTCTAGTATGTTACTATTTACACGAGTCTGTCCCGACTAGTATGTTACTATTTACACGAGTCTTTTCAGACTAGTATGTTACTATTTACACCAGTCTTTTCAGACTAGTATATTACTATTTACATGAGTCTGTCCCGACTAGTATGTTACTATTTATACGAGTCTGTCCCGACTAGTATGTTACTATTTACACGAGTCTTTTCAGACTAGTATGTTACTATTTACACGAGTCTTTTCAGACTAGTATGTTACCATTTATACGAGTCTGTTCCGACTAGTATGTTACTATTTACACGAGTCTTTTCAGACTAGTGTGTTACTATTTACACGAGTCTTTTCAGACTAATATGTTACCATTTACACTACGAGTTTTTTCAGACTAGTATGTTACTATTTACACGAGTCTTTTCAGACTAGTATGTTACTATTTACACGAGTCTTTTCAGACTAGTATGTTACTATTTACACGAGTCTTTTCAGACTAGTATGTTACTATTTATACGAGTCTGTCCCGACTAGTATGTTACTATTTACACGAGTCTGTTCCGACTAGTATGTTACTATTTACACGAGTCTTTTCAGAGTAGTGTGTTACTATATACACGAGTCTGTCCCGACTAGTATGTTACTATTTACACGAGTCTGTCCCGACTAGTATGTTACTATTTACACGAGTCTTTTTAGACTAGTGTGTTACCATTTACACTACGAGTTTTTTCAGACTAGTGTGTTACTATTTACACTACAAGACTAGCATGATAATATTCATACTATGAGTCTGTTCAGACTAGTATGTTACCATTTACACGAGTATTTTCAGACTAGTATGTTACCATTTACACGAGTCTTTTCAGACTAATATGTTACCATTTACACTACAAGTTTTTTCAGACTAGTGTGTTACTATTTACACTACAAGACTAGCATGATAATATTCATACTATGAGTCTTTTCAGACTAGTATGTTACTATTTACACGAGTCTTTTCAGACTAGTGTGTTACCATTCACACTGCGAGACTGGTCCGACTAGTTTGTTACTAATTACACTACGAAGCTGTTCCGACTAGTTTGTTACTATTTACACGAGTCTTTTCAGACTAGTATGTTACTATTTACACGAGTCTGTCCCGACTAGTATGTTACTATTTACACGTCTTTTCAGACTAATATGTTACCATTTACACTACGAGTCTGTTCAGACTAGTATGTTACTATTTACACGAGTCTTTTCAGACTAATATGTTACCATTTACACTACGAGTCTGTTCAGACTAGTATGTTACTATTTACACCAGTCTTTTCAGACTAGTATGTTACTATTTACACGAGTCTGTTCAGACTAGTATGTTACCATTTACACTACGAGTCTGTTCAGAATAGTGTGTTACCATTTACACTACGATTTTTTTCAGACTAGTGTGTTACAAAAAGTTGTTATTTAGAATATCACTTTGATTTGCAATACCACAACACTCACACGAGTTTCAAACAGTACGACTTGATTATGATACTGAGTACCTACATCATTTTAGCGAACATCCTTTTCTTTCTCCATACTAGTATTAGTTGTACTGCTATCGCTACTACAAGCGTCACAGCTATCCCCAGAACGATATCCATCTTTGCCGTTTGGTTTGTTGGTCAACTCACACTTTTCACATGGTCTTCTTTTTATACTGAAGATATTAAGATTAATACAATTAAGGGAGTAATTTATCTTTCACAATCTCAGTTCTTGCATATCTACATTCCCATAGTAACAAACAGAATTTTTTCCAAGTACTGTACAATACTCTACGAGTACGTTTGATTTGTTTGTCTGCGGTTATCTAACCATTTGACATCAACTGGGCACAAAACCAGGCGAGCTTATGTGATGTAATTAATAATTAGTTAATCCACGGCCTGTAATCTTTAATCACTTAACATCCATTAGATGAAAATCGATACATGACATAACGAAAATTAAAAAAAAATACATACAAACATAATAAAATACGAAGACTACAAA